CAGCCCCGCCCCACGGCAGGCCCGGACCCCACTCTGCAACGCGCACAGGTCTTGGGCTGCGGAGGCCCAGCCACTGCCCCTCTGCTCTCCAGGGGTGGGTGTCCGAGGCCTTGACCTGCACGGGGACACTGGTGCTGGGCCAGCTGGGCACCAGGTGCTCTGGGGCTTCGAGCCTGACCCTGGTCTCCCTGGTGTGGCCAGGCAGGTGGGAGGGCCCTGGACAGCCACGTGGACCTTTTCCCCAGTGCTTGGTGGTGCTGCCTGGCCAGCGTATGTGAGCAGTCGCTGCCCCCTTCCCACGAGCCGAGGCCAGCCACGGGTGCTGGGTCAGAGCTTTAATGGACACAGCTGGCCAGACGCAGGCCCACCCCCGCACCTGTGCAGTGGACAGGGCACAGGGGCGTGGTGGGCCAGGCCTCTAGCACCAGTCCCCACAACTCCCAGGGGCCTGAGGCTCAGGAAGGCTCCAGCGTCCAGGCAGGGCCCTGTCAGCCCTGGGGCTTGAAGAGCTGGACAGCAGCAGTCCCGAGCACAGCCACGAGGGTCAGCACAACAAGGACGACGCTGGCCGTCCAGACGCTGAAGCTCTGTGCCCGCCACTGGGCAGGTGCCTCCGGGGGTATCATGTTGGTCAGGTTCAGCATGTACCCGAGCGTCCAGCCCACGTCGGTGCCGCTGACCTGTGGGTCACATGGGGTCAGGGCTCGGAGGCCACCGGAGCCTGTGGCGCCCGGGGTGGGGCTCACCTGCTTGCGGAACTGGATCCCCGCCCAGGTGTCCTGGCGGAAGCCGTAGCCGTCCCGCAGCAGCGTGAGGATGTACATGCCGGTGGCACAGTACTTGGGCAGGAACCTGTCCTGCACCGGCGCCTCGGCCTGCACCTGCGGCGATGGCCGGTCAGCCCCACCGGCCTGGCCGCCCGCCCCCGGGGCCAGCACGGCCAAGTGGCCCCCGCCCCCAGCCCTGCTCTGTGAGAACGTCCACCCACCTGCGCCCAGGTCTTCTGGCAGAAGGTCCAGACCGTGCGGTTGGCCGTGTCCAGCGACTGCCCGGAGGTGAGGTTCAGGAAGTCGAAGGTGTAGTAGAAGCCAGAGAAGGCCTGGGGACGGGGGAGGCGGGCGCTGTCCTGCGGGCCCGGGACAAGCCGGGGAGACCGCCCGTCCCCCTAGGCCCATCAGCCCAGGCGGCAGGGTTTCGCCACCACCCGCCACAGGGGCTCGGGGTCCTTGGGCGCTCACATAGAAGGGGCCCCGCACGGGGGGCTGGTACACGCCGTCGAAGGCACAGTCCTCCCGGCCCTCACAGCTGGAGAAGTCGAAGAGCCGTCGGATGGCGGCGGCACAGGCCTGCGGGTCCCCCAGGCCCCGCACGGTCAGGTTCCGGCTGAGGTCGGGAGCGCCGGCCCAGCGCACACAGGGGGACTCCAGCAGGGCTCTCAGGGGCTTGGAGCCCACGTAGCCCCTGTGGTAGCAGGGGTGCTCTACCACGGGCTCCTCGCTTTCCTGCCCGAAGCAGACAGGTGGTATGAGCGGGGCGCCCCCGCGCCCCGCTGGCACCCCGCCCACCGGCCCGCGCGGCCCAGCCCACCGGCAGCAGCCCCACCAGGAGCCGGTTCAGCATCTGGTCGCTGCCAAAGCACAGGTAGCTGTGGGTATACACGCTGTAGCTGGAGCCGTAGAGGCGGAAGGAGGCCCGGGCGCTCTCGTCCAGGATGGGGCCTTCGGGCACGAAGGTGATCTGGGTGGAGGCCCCGCCCAGGTCCAGCGCGCCCACCAGCTCCCGTGCCGGAGGACGGGTCCACTCTCCAGAGAAGGAGTACTGGCCGCAGACAGGGGGGTGAATACCCACCGGCTGCCTGGACCCTCCCTGCGCAGGCCCCGCCCCAGGCTCTGCCCCTGCCACAAGGCCCCGCCCACACCGCCTGCCCCAGGCCCCGCCC